ACGTATTCAAATAGTGGCTTTTTCCCACTGGTCCTCTTCTGGCCCCAAGGACACTCCATCCATGGGACTTCCCTGAAAGTGCTCCCACCCTGGGCCTCTGGTCTTTTTCTTTTCTTTTCTTTTTCTTTTCTTTCTTTCTTTTTTTTTTTTTGGTACCAGGGATTGAACTCAGGACCTTGCGCTTGCAAGGCAGGCAGGCGCTAGAACCACTGAGCTAAATCCCTGGCCCACCTCTGGTCTTTTTCTGCAGACCTGCCTAGCTAGCTGACTTGCTTGTTTTCTTTCCTTCCTTGCAGAACTTTTTTATCATCCATCCCTCCTAAGGGGGAGCAAGGAGGGAGGAGATACGCGGGGTCTAGACATACTTAACACCCTGTAACTCTTTATTTGGTATCTGTCCCAAATGGCCTGTGGGGACATTAGCTAGATCTAAACTCTGCAAAGATGCAGTCCATTTGTTTTATTTCTCTGTGTCTCTAAGTGCTCAGCATGAGTATGGTCAGTGGAGAGCACAGCCCAAGGAGAGATGCACATGTGTGTAAATGATAAGCAGCCAGTGTTGGGCCAGAGCAGAGATGTATGTGTCCTCAGGGAATCCAGGAGGAGGCAGAGGTCTGGGGAAGGCTTCCCTGAGCAGGTGACATGTGGGCTGGTGCTATGTGAAAGAAACAGATAGGCAAAGACCAGGAGACTTCATATTGTTGGTGTGTTTGAGGAACAGCCAGGTTAGAATGTGAGGCTGGTGTGGGCAGTAGGAGGTGAGCTCAGAGGTAAGATAAGACAGGGCCTTCCAGCCTGTAAGAAGTTTAGGTTTCACTCTAAATGCAAAAGATTCTTAAAAGATTCTAAGCCTGGACTGTCCGATAGAACTCACAATGGGCATATTCTATAATCTTCATGAACAATTCAGCAACCATTAGCTTTCCCATATGATTACTAATTGTGGCTTTTTCTACTAAAGAATTGAATTTTTAGTTTAACTTTAATGACTTTAGAATGAAATGGTTATAGTGGCTGCCATAGTAGACCACCCTGTATGACTTGCTCAAATCTGTTGGGTGGAGAGTTGGGGAGGTGGGAGGTGGGAGCAGGGTGAGCAGTCCAGGTCTATGGCAATTGGCCAGGTGGGGGATGTTGGTGATCAGGACTGTGGTAACAGTAAGGTGACTAAGAGAGTTAGATTGCAGGACCGTTCTGGAAATAGAGTCATAGGACTTGCAGATGGGAATGAGGGAGGGCCAGCCATGGGGCTAACAATGGAATGCTGTCTGACACGAGCAAGCAGAGCTGCCCATGTGAGGCTTCAGGAGCCCATGGCCCATCCACAGGGAGGAGTCAGGTGGACAGAGGGTGAGTCTGCAGGAACATTCAAGACCACAGGTAGAAATTGGAGTGTAATCAGTGAACAGCTGGTGTTTGTAGCCACAGGGCTGAAGACTCTTCTCCTCGTTGAATGAGGCCCTGGGTTTAATTCTACTGTATGGGATGGAGGGTGCAGAGGAAAAGAAAAGAAATAAACTTTTGTTGTTTATAAGCCAGCCAGGCTATGGTATTTTGTTATAGCAGCCCAAATGGACTAAACAAGACAATATACTTGTTTGAGTCCACTTTTAGTTTTTTTGGGCACGCATATCTAGGAGTGGAATTTCTGGATCCATATGGCAGTTCCATCTCTCACTTTTTGAAGAACTGCACAGGTGAGTTTTTTTTCTAATTCACCCAAAGGTGCCAGGTGAGTGGGCACAGTGAGAATCTCACAGTCTTCAGGATTCCCATGTACCCAGCCTTTGACAGGTGCTCAGCCTGGGGCTTCACAGAGATAAATTCTTTCCATCTTCACAGCCATTATTCCAGTGAGGATCAGGTAAGGAGCTCAGGTAAGGGGGCGATCACCCCATCACACAGCAGTAAATGAGAGCCCTAGTCTGCCTATGTCCCAAATCAGTGTTCTTTTTTTTTTGGTACCAGGGATCAAAGTCGGGTCTTTGTGCTTGCACGGCAGGTGGTGAAACCATTGAGCTAAATCCCCGGCCCCCAAATCAGTGTTCTTGACCAGTGTACTATCAGGCAGATGATCAGATGAGCATTAGGAAGTTGGAAGTCTTTCTGCCCTAAGACCTACTTAAGGGTGACTGAAAAATGCCTTTTCTTTCTCCTTCCCTGTCCTATCTCTAGCCTCATCTCCCTCTGAGCTGGAGGCTAGAGGAAGCATGCTTCAAGCAGATGTGAGCATATGAACCCCCTCCCAATCCAACGCCTGTCATTTATCATCTGTCATCTGACAGTCCAGGGAGCCAGGGGAAAGATCAGAAAACAGGTCATCCATATAGCTGTTCTCCAGCCCTGCCCACTTGCAATGCACTGGACAATGCCTGGGTAGGGCAACTCCTCCAGGCCTGCTGACCCCTGAACATCTGTAAGACATCCTTGCCAGTGAGAAATGAGCAGTTCTGAATGAGCAGGGCTGTGGGTCCCTCCTCCCAAGCCTGGAGCCTGAGGCTTATAAGCTCCTATTTGTGACTCCACCTACCTTCTGCAGAATCATTTATTGATGAGGCCCCTGCAGCCAATATGATCCCCGTCAAGCTTCCTGAGTGCTATTTCCAGCCTTTGCAGCAAGAGGAGGAGCTGAGACGAGATGCAATGAGCTTGTTTCTAATGGTATAGCCAGTGAGATGATCCAGGCTCCAGCTTCCAGGGGTGAGAGGCCCACAGCACCCTCAGGGAAGGGGTTCCCTCCAAGTGCAGGGGAAGGAGCCTGAGGCCTGCTTTGCCTCTCAGCCCACCCACCATATGTTCTAGAAGACTAGGGGTGAGGAAGCTGAGTGAAAGGCCTGGCCAGGGGCAGAAGCTCTGCACCTGCCTGGGACACAGACTCAGACAGGTGGCTGGTGGCCCTGAATGCTGGGAAGGCATCTGGATGAGGGGGAGGAGGCTGGGAAGGATCTGTGTTGCCTGGAAGGAGGTGGTGTGACAGTCACAGTTCCCATCTGTCCATCAACTTCCCTCAGGGGAAGGCCAGACATATGGAAGGTGATATGGGGAGACCACAGCAGATGGCAGAGGAGCCTGGGAGCTGCCAGAAGGGGGTCCTATCTCAGGGTACTGCTTGAAGCCATGGGCTTCTTGGATGGGGCCCAGGGCCCACCCATACTCACATCTTGGCCAGAAGAGGAGGGACCCCTCTCAGAGTTATGTGTTTCCTCTGAAAGTCTGACCTCCCATGCCCTGGACCTCTGTTACCGCTATGAGCATTGGCCAGAGCTGCCTCCTTATCCCACCTTGCACCTGTGTGGCCCAGAGGTCATGTCCCTCCCTGACCCTCAGCTCACCTGTGAAATGTGGCACCCGCGGTGCAGGCTGTGGGAGGAATAAATGAAAAAATGCAGAGACCACCCTGGGGGGCTCTAAGAAGACACGAATGAGGGAGAATTAGTGAGTGAATGGTGACCATGTGAATTTAACCAATACACCTCTATATTAACTCAATACACTTCTATAATTTAACCAATACACCTCTATAACCTAGATGATTGGTTATCTCAGGTCTCCTGGTAAAGCCACCCTGGGCCTCTCTGTAGAGTGAGGTTCATCTGGGAGCGGATCTCACCCATCCCCCAGGCTAAAGTATGAGCTGGAATGATCCCAGTGGCCTTCCCTTCACTCCAGAGGCCCGAAGCTGAGCTGGGGAGGACAGAGCAGGCAGGCACCCCAGACACAAGACTCAAAGAGGCCGAGAGTGAGGACCCTTCTCTGGTCACTGTAGAGTCTGCAGGGCTGGGGGACAGCCTGACACCAAAGGGAAACAGGGAGCAGGCTGTGATAGGGGAAGGCATCGTTGGCTGGTGGACCCTGAAGACAGCTAGGTGTGGTTGAGCCAGTGCAAGTACATCCTGGTCCATTTTATTTTTATTTTTAAATTTTATTTATTTAGCAGTACTGTACTGAGGCTAGTAATCCCTGTTCTAGTGGCAATCTTGGATGGCCCTGGATGGAAACACCTGATTGGGGCACACATGTAAGGGTCACAGAGTCCCAAGGGTAATGCCACCTAGAGTGTGATCTGAAGCTTAGGTGGGGCAGAGGCAGAGGAGGGACCAAGAATGTGGAGAAGGTGTCAGACCTATCTTATCTTTTCAGCTCTTGGTTTCTTCATCTGTAAGACAAATAGGTGGATGGACAGATAGGTGATGAGCAAAGGAGCTAAGGGAACCAGGGAAGAGGGAAAAGATGCTTCTGAAGAACTTGGATGTGGTTACTTACTGTACCTTGGTACCAGGGGCTGCTTCGCTTGGACCTTCAGGACAAGACTTACAGGTTCTCTTCCCCAGAAATCTGCTGTGGAATGTTGAGATGCTTGAAGAGAATGTCTTTGTATCAAAGGAAAAGGGTAGGAACTACACTGAAGTGATTCTGAGATGATGCTTGCTGTGTTTTGGGTTTTTTTTCTTCAGTGCTGGGGATCAAACCCAGGGCCTCACATATGCTAGACAAGCATTCTGCCACTGAACTATGCACCCTTATTTGATATAGTTTGAATGCCCCCCTCCAAAACACAATGTTGAAATTTAATCCCCAATGCAAATGTTGGGAAGTGTAGTCTACTAAGAGGTGTTTAGACTTCACAAATACGTTAATGTAATTTATCACAAGACTGGTTTGTTAAAAAGATTGAGTTCAAGTCCCCTCTTGACCTTACTCTGGTGCATCTGCTATGATATGATGTGGCATGAAGGCCCTTGCCAAATGATACCATCTTCTTTGACTTCTCAGCCACCAGAACCATGAGCTAAATAAACTTCTGTTTATAATTTATCTGGTCTGTGGGTCTCAGTTGTAGCAGCACAAATACACCAAGACAACACTGTTAACTGTCTGGGAAACGAGTCCCTTGCTTTTCCCTGATGCACATAGTCTCCCATCCTTCTGGGTCAAATATTGAAATTGAAGATATCATTACTGTCAGACAGGGGCTGCAGGAACTGGCTGGCATACCACAGTGGGGAATATGAGAGTTTAATAAAGTACCATTTACAGAAGTTCAGGTGTACATGAAACACTGGGTGTCCAGCTTAGGAGCTGGTAACAGCAGGACAGCATATTCCCCTCTACCACCACTATCCTGGGGAGTGGGGAAGGGGAGGGAGCCAGGCCATCTTGGCTGGTCATTTCCATTCTGTTTGCACCCGACAAACTTGGTCCTCCCTAATGCACCCCCAGTGTGCTCCCTCCCCCATAGTGGACCAGGCCAGGAGGACCTCCTGTGGGAATCCTGAGTGTACACTATCATTACAAAGATGGCTATTGCAGCACCATCAGTAAAAGCTAACTGCTGAACACAAACTAAGTGACCTGTATATGGGGCCAGTTAGGTGAAATTGTCTACACTAAAGAAAGCTGAGTGGCTGCTGAAGGAATGAGGAGGCTGTGTGCATCTGCAGTAAGGAAGCCCAGGTGGTCCATGGGGAAGGTAGCCTGTTAGGCAGCATGTACAACACAAAGTCACTCTGGGGAAATAAGCTAACAAATGTAGGGCCAGGGATTTAGCTCAGTGGCACTGCACCTGCCTTGCAAGTGCAAGGTCCTGAGTTCAATCCCTGGTACCGAAAAACAAAACAAAACAAATGTGGTTTGCACACAGGTAAACATATCCCAGAAGGAACTGTACCAACTATTGATCACGTTTATGTTTGGCATGTGACCAACCAGAGGTGGTATTTCTAATCTGTATTTTATATACTTTGTACTCTTGTTTTACACTAAGTACACAATTCCTTTAAAAGCAATTTATGTAAAGAAGTGATATATATGAGCTAAAAATACAGCAAAGGAATAATTAACAGAAGAACATGCCGGTGTTCTTGTCTGATACTTGGCAGTTGCTATGATTCAGTGAACATTCATGGTGCACAACTGGTGTGCTAGGCATTAGGAGAGGGTGCTGACTGGCATAGGCTGCCTGAAAAATGCTCACCATCCCTGAGAAACAAGGATGCTGGATGTACCCACCTACCTATGGGAAGAGGGTGGGGATGACAGGGCAGAGACTCATGGCCACAGCAGCAGGGGGCAGCGAATAGCAGTGATGAGGGGTCAGGGAGGACCTCCTGGAGGAGCAACACAAGGGGCAGAAAGGAGGGCAGACCCTCTGGGCAGAGAGCTAGGTAGGGAGGATATCCCTGCCTGCACTGGCTGTGCAGGAGGAATGGTGGAGTCAGGAACATGCTAGACTCTGAAGGGTTTCCAAAGTCCTGCAGAGGTGTGTGGACACCATTACACAAGTCCTAAGAAATATGCAAGCCAGTGGGAGAGAAGACTGGAGAGGCAATAGTACACACTGGCATGGGTCACAGTAGGGCAGTGCCAAGGTAAGGGGGTGTACAATGATTCATCCAAGGGGTGGCCATGCAATCTTCATCTCACAGCATGGCCAGGAAAATTTATCCTCCAGATGGGTCAGAGGCACAAGTGACTGGTTCAGCCCTTCCTTACCCTCCAACCTTGAGCGCAAGGCTATGAGGAGCTCAGAGATGCGAGAGAGGGTCGCCTGGTCAGAAGGGGACCAAGAGAACTTCTTGTCCTTTGCCCTTGGAAGATGCAGGGCTGCCCAGGGAACCTGGAAGTCTGTGGCAGAGGGGAAGTGGACAGGAGGCCTCAAGCTCTGAGGCCCAGAACTGCATGTCCTGTTGATAACAGAAAATTTCCAGGTGGGACAGCAGATGGGCTTTCCCTCACAGGCCAACTTTGACAGGTCCTGGTTGCCTGAAACATTGTGATGAGAAGGATTCTGAAGCCACATCCAGGATTGCTGGGAAACAGTGCCATGGTGAGGGATGTGGGCCACTGCAGAAGTGTCCTGAGGCCTTTCAAAGCCATGGGTGACTGAATGATGAGTGCAGAAGGGACTGGCCTTTCAGATCACTTCGGTGTCCCCACTAGCAGGCTGTATGGATCCCTGAGCAGGCAATGTAAGGTGCATCAGCATCCAGTTATCTTACTGCTAAAGAAAAGTAGCTGAGCCCTGGGTACACAGGCCCTCCAGATCTTGAGGGAGACAGGCTCCATGTTACCCCTCCATAGTCACAGAAGCCTATGCCCATGCATGTACAGGAAGTGGGGGACCTCTGGTGCCAGTCCAGCTAACAGCAGCCTAGGCTAAAAGGCCTCTTGCTTTCCTGGGTCTCGGATGAATTTCCCTCCATTCCTGTAAAGAGAAAAATAAGGTGGCATCAGTTAAGCATCCTGAAGCTGTCACTGGTCAGGGGCCATCCCTATCCTGACAGGCACAGCCCTAAGCTTGAGCTCCCAGGCCTATCATATGATAGGCCTAGATAACCTGGCACAGGATGAGAGACCCAGAGGATATTCTGCATGGTAGAACATTGTGGACAAAAGCCCAGGCTAGCAGAGGCAGAGCCAGGTCTTTCTGTGGAGCCTGGGATGCCCAGCCTGGCCCACAAGGCGGCTGTATGGAGGACAGGGAGGGCCAAGGAAGGTGTCTGAGCTGGCAGGTGGAGTCAGGGAGGGTACAGACCTGTACAACCCACAGAAGAGGATCCAAAGAGGGCAACAAGTTAAAGAAATGGCAGGGTCTGGGGTGACAGGAGGATGGAAGATGTGGATTCTGGTCTCCAGTCTTTCCCCAGCCCATGCAGCCATGCCTGTACGCACGGATAAGGTCTCCATCGCCGACCTGGGGCTGGGTGCTGTTCCTCTTCTCCAGGTCCTGCAGTACTGACTGCTCAAACGCCAGGGCAGCAACACGGCTGAAGAATGCCTTCACATTCTCTCCTGGGGACCCACAAGATAGCTGTGACCCCAGCTGCACCTCTAGACACATTTAGGTGCCAGAACCAGGGCAGCCCACCCTCAGGCTGGAGTGTGGCTCCTTCTAGAGCATCTTTGAGAGTAACGCCGACATGTGAGGGTGCAGCCTTACCCACCCACAGGAGCAGTGCAGTGCTGGGGGTAGGACCTTTCAAAGCCTGGCTTCCCACCTGGCCTCAGCCCCATTCCCACTCTGTCTGGCTGCCTTAGCCACTCCCCTCAGACCTCTGAGCCTTTGTTTCTTGGCTACTATGGGCCAGGTGCTGGGACAGGCAGAGCTCAGGACAGACATGTGCCTGCTTTCCTGTAACTTTCTTTGTACACTTGGACCTTATATGGAGTCTGAGCATCTTCCTCCAGCTATCAGGGAGGAGGAGGCCAGGTTCCCACACCCAGCTACATAGGGTGGTCCTACTTGGCCTACACTGAGTTATTAGTGAACTCCCTGTTACTCTGATAAAGGTGGATGGGTCCTCACAGGGCAGAAGGAAGGGAAGGAGCAGCAGAGAGCAGCAGACAGAGGAACTGCCAGGTGTTTGTGGTGGGGGTAGGAGGCACTTCTAACCTCAGCTCTCAGTCCCTAGCCAAATGCCTGCCATGCCTGCTTGCCCTGGGCCAGGGCGCTGGACCTCTGGGACCTACCATGTGCCAGGGACTGCACATTTTTTCATTTATTATTTATTTATTTTACAATTTTTATTAAATTTTAATTATTTGTATTTTAATTTCTATTTTCTTACACATGAAATTGTATTTTTATTACAATAAAAATATTTATTTTTATTAGTACACGTTTACAGTACATAATGATTGCATTCATTGTGGGGAGTTGGTACATGTACATAACACATCTTAAGTGTTCTTTCATTTAATCTCCCGTACAACCTGTGAATACAAATTCTGCTCTTTGCTTTTCTGCACTTTCTACCTTTTCCTCAGTAAATACATACAGCTTTTGTAATATAAAAATATTTTATTAAAAATAAACTGGGTGCAGTGGCACACGCCTGTTAATCCTGGTTACTTGGGAGGCTGAGGCAGGAGAATTGCAAATTCAAGGTCAGTCTGGACAACCCAGCAAGGCTCTGCTTCCAAATCAAATAGGCTGGGGGGAGAGGCAGAGGTAGAGACAGAGATGGATAGATATCACCCTGCTTCCCAGAGGAGAAGACTAAGGCTTGGACCTGCTGGACATCTTGCCTAGGGCTGGCAAGGGCCAGCGGTCAGTGTTCCTCTCATCCATGGGACAGGCTCCCAGTGTCCTAGAGAAGAGGAGACCACTGTAAAACAACAGTGCTGCCAGTCACCAGCACAGCTGAATTGTGAACCAGCACCCAGAAGGAAACACAAGAAGCTCCACAGCACATTGGGCTCCATGCAACAGCCTATGCCCCCCACCTTGGTAAGCCCTTGCCCCAAGACTCACCTGTCTTGGCTGACACCGACCAGTACTCAGCCTGCATCTCATTGGCCAGGTGCACAGCCTCTGCTTCAGCCTGCTCACATGCTGCCCCTGACTGGGAGAAGCAGCCCTTGCTGACCCAGGGCCCAGCCCTCCTACAGGTGGCCCCTAGGGTCGTAGCTGCCCCCTTCTCACTGAGGTACCTCCCGCCGCATTCCCATTTCCCCCCTGGGGCAGGCAAGGTGGTGCCAGTGCAGGGATGCTGCCTGCCTAGGGGTGACATGTCAGTGGTCCACAAGCAAATCTTGAGTGTCAGCAGTCCTGCTCTTAGGAGACAGCACAGGGAACCTGAGTTCCCCTGACTTGCAGCTCCAAGGCCTTCGGTCTTTGAATGCTAAAACCAGGCATGTCAGTGCCACATACTGCTCTTCATACTCGGGCTGCAAGCATGTGCATTTTCCCAAGAGGCGCCCAGGTTTCCAGCCTTGTCCTGCTCACCAGAAGGTCCTTTTTGGTTCCCACGAGGAAGATAAAGCAGGATCCCATCTCATTCTCCCTTAGTGCATCCTCCAGCCACTGCCTGTAATACACAGAGGGGAGACAGCCTGAGGGACATCTGTACCCACCCACCTAGCGGGTGTAAGAAAGCCCAGGGGATGGGTTAGAGGCTCAAGTCCTTCCCAGGGCTGAAAGCACTGAGCTGGGAGGCACAGGGAGCGCCCTGGCCCATACTGGCTAAGTGGGATGCTGGTCCTATGGCCAGAATGGCCTCAGTGGGGTCTGAAAGGGGCTGGGAATACAAAAGCATTGGTCAGATAATGAAGATCCATCCTCATCCTTCAAGCCTTTGGGTGACTCTTGTACTTTATCACCTTGAATGATACTCATGCATCCCTCACAGGGTTTGGAGACAACTGGATGTGAATGCCCCAAAGAAATGTAGGGTGAGGGGGTGAGGGGGCCTTTGGTCCATTAGATTTCTGGCAGGAGCAGGATGGCCTCTTGGAATTGGTCACACTGTTCACATCTCTGCCCAAGACAGCAAGGGCCAAAGTCATGTACCTTCAGACAGGACAGGCTATAAAATTATCAGAGCCCAGGGCAAAGGGAACATCTGGGGTCTTTCAAAAATTAGGAGGACTTCCAAGGTGGTGACATCAGGATATCAAAACAAGCACAGGTCTTCCAGAGCACTATCCTGGTGCAAATGCCCCCTTGAGGCATAAGGAGGCAATGGGACAATAAATAGTTTATGGGCAATTGGTCTTAACACGTGAGCCCAAATTCACCATAAGGGGACCAGCCCAGTGGTCTGGGTCTGCAGAGCTTTTTCAGGCAGCTTCCTGAACCCAGGTGCCCCAAAGGGGTCACAGAGTCAGGGATTACTTACCTGGTATGCTCCAGGGTTTGCACATCAGTGAGGTCAAAGGCTGTGATGATCACTAGACACACAGGGGAAAGCAAACAGCGACATTTGAGGGCAACAGTGTGACAAAGGGGACTTCTCCCTCAGGCAGCTCTCCAGATCTCGAGGAACTTCTGTGTGGTCCCTGGCACTCAACTCTGGACCCCAAAGTTGAAGCTCTGGAGAGGAATCCTCCCACTGCCATCCTCCCATCTGTACCTAGCAGCCCAGACTGAGTAGAGTCTAGGGAGGACAGATGAGGCAAGTGTGGAACATGTATGTGGACTTCCGCATCTGAGATCCTTTGCCACTTTCAGCAAAGGGAGCTTGGGTGAAGGCCTTAACTGCTGAGAGCCTCAGTTTGCCCATCTGTAAAATGATGAGAATGATATGTCTAGCTCTTCAGGTCGCTGTGAAGATAAAGGAAGCTAGGTTTTTTTGTTTGCTTTTTTAAGGGAGCTGTTTTGAAAAGGTTTTGGTCCAATGCCTGACCCAGGGCAGACTCTTAAAATTGATTAATTAACTAATTAATTTTTGAGGTACTGGGGATTGAACCCAGGGCCTTCACACTGAGCTACATCCCCAGTCTGTCTGTCTATCTATCTATGTATCTATGTATCTATGTATCTATCTATTTATTCAGAAACAAGCTCCTCTTGTCACTGGCCCTGCCTTGTAGCCATGGTGTCCAGGCAAAAGGTTTGCTCTCTACTGATGACTGGGGGTGTGAGCAGGCTGAACAGTAGCTTCCTCCACCCTGTGGCTAATGACTGCAGGACAGCCCCGATGCTCTCGGGACAGAGGGGAACAGAGGAAAGGATATGGATGATGGTAGTCTGGCTGCTATTTGTAGAGGTGTGCCAGGCACCTTACAGCTCTCACCCTGGGGAGGCAGAATTTCCGTGGGAAGAGAGAGGCCTGAAGAAGCAAAAGCTGAAGGAGGCCACAGTGGACGTGGCTGAGCTGAAGTTCCAATCCTCAGCTGAGGTACTCATGGTTTATTACCTATTTTTGTTCCTTTCAAATCTGATGAAGCTGCTGTGATTCTTATACCACTACTTAGTAGACATAATTGTGCCTTGAGTCTCGTTTTGGATCCTTTTGATAGTTCTCTCACATCCCACTGAAATCCATTTCTGTCTTCCTCCTGGGAGGCTGGGGTCAGTGTGGTGAGCTTATGCTGCCATCTCTGCTGTGAGCCCTGCCCAGAACCTAGGCTGTACTTGGCCACCCTGGTGGTAGGCACTGAGCCCTGTTGACCCCTACCTGGGACCTGCCAGTCCTGCCAGGGTCCACCTTTCATTCCTCCTTTCTGGCTTAGCTTCTTCCTCCTAAGATAGGACAAGCCACTGCCCATCTCCTCTTGGAATGTGATGCTGTCTTTCTTTCCCAGAATCCCTGGTCAAATACATCCTTCTTCCAGAATCTTTCTAATATGAAAGCTGGGGCTGAGACATACAGCTAGAACCCACCACCACAGGCTCCCTAAAGCCTCCCTAAAGGCTTGTCAAAGCCAGCCAAGGCCCCAGATTGGAGGCAGCTTTTCCATTCCCAAAGCCTGGATAGGGTGATTTCTCAGTGGTTCTTGGAGGACAGAAAACTGGTGCCTGTGTAGAGGACCTGGGCTTCCTGCTGTTGAGCCCAGTGGGGAGGCTCCTGCTGCACATCCCACTGTCACACAGTTGCTTACCCTGAGCACCCCGGTAATAGGCAGATGCGATACACTTGAACTTCTCCTGACCGGCTGTGTCCCAGCTGAGCCATGAAGAGGAAGAAAGGAAAACAGTGGTGGTAGGTTAAGAATCATAGTATTCTGAGTCAATAGGCTAGTAGACCACGGGAGGGAGACGTGAGGACAGGCACCAGCTGTGCCAGCTGTGTGGGCTTCAGGAAGTGCTTGTATGAGCCAGCTATCCTGCATCCACCTCCTGGTGATCCCTCTGGGGAGCCCCAGGGGGAATTGTCTTCCTGGATTCACAGTGCCTACGGGGTAGGGGGCATGGGAGTTCTACTGCCAGATGAATGGAGTTGTAGCTCAGTCCCTTCTAACTATGACATTAAAAAGGAGCATATGCTCTACAGTGTGGCTTGCTCCCTGTGAATGGTGCTAGGCTCTAGCCTGTGGCTCTACCACTTGGTCATGTATGATTGGGACATTGCTTCCCCTTCTGCACTGTAGCTTCCTGGGTGAAGGGTGGGGATGCCTCACAAGGACATAATTTGTATTCCCTGGGTGACTCTGATTAGTTAGCTCTCAAGCAAACATATCAAGAAGGACTTAGAAGCTGAGCCCTGGCTCCACGGAAAAGAATGCAACAATAGATTAATGCTGTTTGCCACAGTCACAGTATAGAAAATGGGATGGCGCACATGCTGAGATTTATTTGCTCTGGTTTATAACAAGGCAGGTGGTCAATACGTAGTGATGAGCCTTAAATCCTATTCCCAATCCATCCTTAAAGTCAACAGGTCAACTTTCTCAGTAAACTGAACAGGAGACAAACCATGAATATGACATCAATGGTCTGAGATTTTTTTCAAGTCATCTGGCATGATGCAGACTTTTTGGTTATGTCTCTTCACTAATTCACTCATATTTCCTTTCTTCTCAAAAGAATACTCTCGGTGGAGAGCTGGGGATGGGCCTGGAAATGGGGCCAGCTGGGTGGATAGCAATGACTTCAGCGTAAGACATGGAGAAACTGAGGCAGAACAGTGTCCCTGTTTTGTCCTGGTCTCTCTAATCAGACACAGCCTGCAGCCACAGTGAGAGCCCAGCCATTAGCCCCTGCCTAGATGGTTCCACCTGGACCATTCCCTTGACTCTTTTCTTTCTCAGTGTTCCAGATCCCTTAGTCCCATATCTTCGAATTTTCATAGCCTCCTTTGCTCAGGACTGACCCTATACTCACTCTTGGAAAAGATGTGGTATCACCTGGCTCCAGAAGTGCACTGCAGAATCAGCCTAAGCAGAGCATGAACTATTGAAGAATGAATCCAGTGAGGAAGAAAGGAAAGAGAACCAGAAGACAGAAGTGGAAGGAAAGAACAGCAGGGGGAGTGGGAGTTACTTCCCTGCTGAGGGAAATGGTTCGAGGGGGAAGATGAACACATCAGGCCTAAGGAAGGGAGGCGGACAGCACGGTCTCTGCCAAAACCCGCCTCACCCACGCCTAGCACACAGGGACTAATCCAATCGCACTTCACAGCTGGGAACAGAGGCTCAGAGCTAACAACTTGCAAAGTCCACCTGCCTCCTGCAGGATCAAAGGAGGTCCAGGTGGGGAGGCCATCAGGGGTGGGTGGATAGGTTAGGCTGTGAAGACCTTCCCCTGCTCTGTCAGGACCAAGGAGGATCCAGGAAATTTGGGAGCCATGAAGCCTAGTTTCTCACAATCATACCAGGCTCTGCTTGTCTAGACAGGTCCCTGCTGAGCACCATGAGGCAGAGGGGATGAAGGGCTTTTCAGGACCTTTCCCAGGATCTCCAGGAAGCCCACCCTCAAACCATACAGGAATTGGCATCACACAATTGGAACTTACATCTGGAGGCTGTAGGGAATTCCAGCAATCTCAAAGCGCTCGATTTCAAAGTCCACCCCAATAGTGGCCTTATAGTCCCGATCAAAAACATTCTTGCAAAACCTGTGGGAGTTGATATCATCAGAGAGGTGCCATGGAAGGTTTTCTCATGGAAGGTTTGCACCACAGTTAAAGTGGGAAGGGAAATAAAGTCCACTGATAGAGAATTGAGAAGGAAGGATGGTTCACAGAGGGCATGGGTAGACAGGTGTGTTAGTTAGTGGTCTGTCACTGTAACAAACACCAGAGACAACTTATAAAGAGAAAAGCTTTTGTGGGCTCACAGTTTTAGAGATTTCAGTCCATGACTGATTAGCCACATTGCTTTAGGCCCGTGGTGAGGCAGCCCATCACAATGGTGGCATGTAGCTGAATAAAACCTCTCACCTTGTGACCATGAAGCAAAAAGGAGGAAAAGGAAGGGGCCAGAGTCCCACTGTCCCCATTGAGGGCATGCTCCCAATGACCCAAAGACCTCTTACTAGGTCCTACCGCTTAAAGGCTCTACTAGCTCCCAATAGTGCTATGGCTGGGGACCACACCTTTAACACATGCACTTTGGGGGACACCTATCTAAACCATAGCAACAGGGCAGTGACAGCCTGGAAAGCAAACACTGTTAAATTTGCCTCTCCAGGACCCCTCATCGCTGTGAGAATAACTGAGTCTATTCCCAGGGAGGGCAGTGGAGGGGCCAGCCAAGATCCCAGGGGGACAGTGTGATGAGTGCCAGTCTCCTGGAATGCCCTACTGTCTGCCAACCCCATCATCTCCCTGATTTCCTGCCCCAGGCTGAGGCAGTGGCCTAGTTCCCAGCATCCACATGGTTCCCACTATGACAATATTATCTGGGCCTCCCAGGAATAGGTGTGAGCCTGGTGCTGGTGCTGGGAGGTATGGCTGACCCGACTGGTGGAAGGAAGCTAGCAGGGCATACCTGTGGATGAGGCTGGTCTTCCCTACATAGAGATCGCCAACGACAACCACCTTGGAGAGCTTGAGCCTGGAAGAAATATGGCTGTGTTACCCTCAAGCATGGTTTCAAGAGGATTTTTAGCACACACAGGCCTTTCCTTCCCTGAGCTCTCTGTGGTGACCCACCCTTCAATCCTGAATATAAGGCAGACCTTGCTATAGCAGCACAATTCATAACAGCTAAATCTTAGAAGTGGCCTATACGGCCATGAACACGTGAATGAATAAAGAAAATATGGTATTTATATATAATAGGGTACTACTCTGCCATAAAGAAAGATGAACTTGAATTATTTATAGGAAAACAGATATACCTTAAGTCTATAATGTTGAGTGAAATAAATCAGACACACAAGCTTAAATATCACATGCTTTCTCTTACATGAGAAACCCAAAGTAAAAATAAAGAGTAAAATAAAAGGTAGATAATAGGAAGTAGGGAGACAGATCTTCTTCATAGGGGAAGGGAGGAGAGGGATAAGGAATGCAACAAAGGAATTAAGATGTATCAAGGGCCAGGGATTTAGCTCAGTGGTTTCGCTGCCTGCTGCGCAAATGCAAGGACCCGAGTTTGATCCCCGGTACCAAAAAAACAAAAACAACAACAACAAAAAAAGATGTATTATATACATGTATCCACTCCCCACAAGGAATGTAAACATTATGTACTACAAACATGTACTACTACTAAAAAAACAAAAAAAGACCCTACTGAGTCATTCTGTCCCACCTCCTCAGCCTTGAGAAGGCAGAGGGAAAAACCTGCATTTTTTGCTGGTACTTTCTGTCCCTGGGGCCATACATCTGATCTCATTTGGCCAAAGTCACTGTCTTAAGAATTCGAAATCAGCACGAGGAGAGGCAGAGTCATAGACTAAGAAAGCAGAGGCAAGAGCACAGGTGGAGCTGTAGTAACCAGGAGCAGCATGTACAGTAGACACACGCACAAGGGGTAGGCAGGCAGCCTCTGCATCCCTCTCCACACTCCCTGGGGTGTCCACCTACAGGATGTGAGCTTGGCTCCTTGCAAGCAGGCACTTCTTGACCAGGACCCCACTGTCACCTGGCCCTTGGAAGTGTTTCTAAGGATCTGATTAGACAAGAGGTGTGCCATTGTTAGAACACAGGATCTGCATATTGGGTGTGTGGCTTGAACCAAATCAGCTCTGAGGTTCTTGGGCTCCTTGGGGACACTGCTCATGGGGAGAAGTTGCCACCCTTACTCTGTGGATGTGCCTCCTGCACTTTGGAGCCCAGAATTTCTGGGATTGCTGATAACATTTTAAGATTCTGTACAAACTGGAGCATGGTGGCACATGCTTGTAATCCTAACTACTCAGGAGGCTGAGGCAGGAGGATTGCAAGTTCAAGGTCAGGTTGGGTGATTTTTTTTTTTTTTTTTTTGGTACTGGAGATTGAACTCAGGACCTTGTACTCACCTGGCAGGCACAGCACCACTGAGCTACATCCCAGCCCCAGCTCAAATTTTTTTTTTTTTAAATGACTAGGAATGTAGCTTAGTACTCTCTGGAGTTCAATTCCTAGTACTGGCAGGAAAAAATAATTTCTGCAGCTCATCCCAAAGGACCTCAATGAAGCAACAAACCCAGGCAAATATCTGACAGGCACTTCCTCTGCTTGCAAGTTACGAGCAGACCCCTCTGTATTGCCTGGTGCCCTGGCCTACAGTTTACCTCAACACATGTGAAGATAGTGGCTATGAGTACCCTGCTCCCAGGCTGCCCACGCCTTCTGGAACAGGTTAGCCCTGACTTTATTTCTCAGGTAAAGGAGTAAAGGTACTGCCCGGGTCTTACGGTGGGCACCTAGGTGCCTCAGTTTCCCTACCTCCAGTGCTATTGTAAGAGACAAGGGAGATAATCTATGTGAAGCCCTTGATATGGAATATACTCCCCAGCTGATGCTATTACTCTTATCCCATGAACTGCTTTGGCCATTCTGAGTGGAGCTCTGCCTCCCTTGTGCAGCCTTGGGAAACTCCAAGCTGGGCTCCTGAACAGACTGTGAGCTCTTCAGGATGAAGGACAAAGCAAGCCCTTCTATCTGTTTGTTAAAAGAAAGGACTATTCGATCCCTGGTTTGAAAAAAAAAAAAAAACCACACAAAAGAAAGAAGGATTATTGCAAAATCCCTGTGCCAGTGGTGCCAGGTGCTGCTGAGGCAGGAACAGGACAGACAGCCCTGACCCTGACAAGGAATCCAGACAGCAAAACTGTGATTCTGTGACGTAAGTTTTGGGGCTCAGGAGCACACAGGAAGGGTACTTGCTCATCTCAGGCTAGGGCCAGGGGCAGCATATTTTAGAGAAGGCTTTCAGAGGACCTGATACACCGGGACACTAAGAAGGAACATAAAAAAGATGTTCCAGACAGAGGAAACAGACCTTTCCTGAGACCTCAGGCTGAAGAGTCCCATGTATGACATTCTGAGAAAAGAAGTTCTTTCACATGGCAGAGTGTGTCAAGCAGAGCCAGACAAAACCCCCAGTACTGGGGTGCATCTGCCTAGTCTGTGTGTTTCATTTGTTAATTTTTCATTCATACATTCGTTTGCTTATTCCTTCTGGCCATCTGTCCCCCACATCCCAGGTCCCACAGGCTTACCCAACAGTCCCAGTGTTCCTGCGCTGGTAAGCTGCGCTGACCTGCCCATGGAAGTGCTCCCTGAGCTGCAGACAGGCATCAGGTGTGTACCACTGCAAAGAGACAGACAAATAGACACACAGGCACATCCTCCCACAAAGCTACAGCCCTGTCGCCTAAGCCAGAAACCATGGTGGTGATCTACTTCCCAGTCTTCCCTCCTCTCCTCTCTCCTGAGTCTCCAACTGTCAGCCTCATTAGCTTTGCCTGTTCCCTGTCACACTGGAGACTGCAGAGTAAGTAGTGTGAACTAATTTCAGAGTCAGGGAAATAGGCACACAAAGTAAAGGGAAGGACTTGCCTTGGAAGGCACTATGTGGACTCAGCCTGATCTGACTGAGAATTCCTCAGGTGTGAAGTGGTGTGGCCCTGAGGTGGAGGACGGACTTGGCTAGCAGTGGTCTGTGATCCCTGACGGCTGCAGACAGGAAGGACAGAACCCCACCTTCCGTGAAAACAAGAGGGGATGCCCCAGGCTGCCTCCCTGGAGTAGGCAGCTCTAAAGCCAGACTCAGCCAGGTCAAATCCAGCTCCACAAAGCCCACCTGGGTGACATCAGGCAATCCTCCCTATCTCTTTGAGCCTTACTGTCCTGCTCTATAAATGGAGTCCTTTGTCCATAAAACCTGGACTGTTTTGTGCCAATTGTTCTTCCCTTCCTTTCAGCTCATAAAATACCAGTCTCTACCATGCTTGTTATCACTGTCAAGCTCCACAGGAAAGGCAATGGCTTGAGCTGTGTTGTAATGGAAAATGTGGGGGAATTATTCACAGGTCCAAGGCACTAAGACCTTCCCTGTGAGTGTGTAGAGAAGGAACTTGGCAGGGGAGTCAGATGGAATGGCTGCAGACCCAAAATATCCAGATCCTACAGCTACCTTCTTCCTCCTCACCAGCCTGGACACAAAATCTAAAAGACACAAAAGACCATTTGGTGGACAGGTCTCCCTACGCACCACCCCCAAGACAAATATGGGCATCTACTGACAACAGGGTCTTATGTAACCTTCAGAAATATTTTACACATGTATTAACAACACAGACATTTCTTTTCTTCTCCTTTTTTTTCAGTTCTGAGGATCAAGCCCACACCCTTGTGCACGCTAAGTATGTGCTCTACTACTGAGCTATACCCCCAGCTCATCAACGTTTTTATATGCATGAGAGTGTACTACACACACTTGACTACACATATCTCCACTCCTTGCATTTTACCTAACAATTTACTTTGGCCCTCATTGGCACCTGAAGAGGTACCTCATTCTTCCTTATGTCCATGTCAGGAAGTAGCATCACCTCTTCAACTGGCCTCTTCTCTGAGAACACTGACATGTCTGACCTCCGCTTACTAAATGCTGTAATACCTGGCCTTGTGCACATTCTCAATCCATGCCACGGTATCTTCAGAGTAAATTTCTAGCAATGGAATGGCTGCCTCAGGGGGAAAAGCATTTGCAATGTTGGTAAATACACTTCCACAACTGCCCAAGAGAGGTCAATGATTTGCATTCCCAGCTACGTTTAATACTAGATTTTAATAAAGACAGAAGAGAGCTGTGAACTTTTAGCAGAATGGCAATGGAAAAAAGCCCTGGATTTGGGGGTCTAGAAGTTGGAATGCTGTAGGTTTAATTTTTAAATTTTTTTGTGGTGTTTGGGATCAAACCCAGGGCCTGGCACATGCTACACAAGTGCTCTATTACTGAGTTACACCTTTAGCTCCTAGAGTGCTATTTTGATAACAGTAATAATAATGAAAGCAGTAACTATATACAACTTCAAGGGAGCTCCTGTTTCCAATCAGCTAGGCAGACAATGTTAGAGGCAATATCCTCAGGTAATAGTGGCTTTGGACTGAGTAACTCGTCACTGGTCATGAAACTTAATGACAGAGGGCCAAGGATGTAGCTTAGTGGTGTCACACCTGCCTGGCAAGTACAAGGTCCTAAGTTTGATCCTCAGTACCAAAAAAAAAAAAAAAAAAAAAAAGAAAAGAAAAGAAAAAAGAAACAATGACAGAATCAAGATTGACATGTAGGACTATCTGGCTTATAACCTCCATACCACACTACTACCTTGTCTCACCACTGGCCTATTTTGGACAAGTCAAGACTGAGTCTTTTAGCTTCTGAAGAAGACAGACTTCCTGATTCAATGGCTTTATTTCTGGGGGTGAGGGTAAGCTAGGAAAGCTGGATATGATCTCAAGATCAGGAGAACAGTACAAATAAAAAGGGGTCATCTAACAACTCTACCTTAGGAAGGGTGTCAATGATGCGGTCTCGGCTCACAGGAGGCCCCAAAGGTGTCAGGGAGGATTTCATTCTTCCAGAGTCCTGTGGACCCAGTGAGGGGAAAGAGAATGTTAAATGCAATTTGTAGGTGTCATTGTTTTGAATTAGCCTACTGCATTAGGTCCCAACAGGCAGATCAAGCCAGATGGAATCACTCAGGCTACGTGTCACATGATCAAACTGGACTCTGAACTGGGCCAGTTTGAGAAAAAAAAAAACAAACCAAGAGGTTCACAGCAATCAATCAAAAGGGACCCAATTTACCTGGGCCAGCATGGTGAAGAAGTATCCTTTGTTTTATTTATTTATTTAGGTACCGGGAATCAAACTCAAGGCCTCCAGCTTGGCCCAAGTCTCCTCTGTTTTAAATCTAAAAAGTAACTTTGAAACAACCAATTTGCTGTTCATTCTGTTTCTGCCTTCCTTAGTCTTTTTCTGTTTATAAAACCAACCTCCTTTGCTCAGCTCATTAGAATACTCAGTATATCTAACAGAATTATGTGTTGCCTGATTCTAGAACCACAAATAAAGCTTTTTGAACGTAATTGCTATTTTAACTTTTGACAAGAATTAGTGGTGCTGGGCCAGGGATTTAGCTCAGTGGTTCCGCCACCTGCCTCACCAGCGCAAGGACCCAAGTTTGATCCCTGGTACCAAAAGAAAAAAAAAAAGAATTAGTGGTGCAAATCTCCAAAGATGCAGCTATAAGTTTCTGCCTAACTTTTCATTAGCTTTAAAATTAGATCTGAAAGCCTCCCTCTTTATCAGGAACATCCAGGAGAGGTCATCTGGAGACAAGAAGGCCATCTCTTTCAATCTGCAGGTGGCATGTGTGTGTGTGTGTGTGTGTGTGTGTGTGTGTGTGTGTGTGTTGCTCCACCCTTCCTGGGAGTCTGGGACCTGGTTCTCTCCCAAACAAACATCTAAGCAGGAGGGACTCCCTCTCCGAGAGCTTTACTCCCAGGGGTGTGATCTGGCCCCAAACCAGGCTTTGGATCACCATTCAGGTAGTAGAAGTAGAGTCAGAAGAAGTCCCTTACTTCTACTTTCTAGTAAAAGGCGAAAGATTTATACGATCTGAAGAGAAACCAGAGTATGACTCCTCCTTTCTAAAGGATGACGGCTTTGAGTGGCCTGGGGGTTTAGGTTTCAGGCTTTTTCCGTTGTTTTCACCCGGCCTGGCCCTTCAAGGTTATGCAACGTCCCTCCATATTCTTTTCATGCCCGGCTCCCTCTCCCCCTACTATGGCCCGGACCAAGGTCAATTGTTGTCCTCTCCCATCTGACATGACTATCTTCCCGGACCAGCACAAGCCTGACATGGTGGCTGCTCAAGAAATGAGGAAACCGGGGGCTGTAGGCCATATTCAGGTCCTGGGGTTAGTAGCTGGGCGGGGAACAGGGCGCTCTGGAGACCACAACCTCTGGATTGTGTCTGCACAGGGGTGGGCCAAGGGTGGGACAGAGAAGGCGAGTGGACTCACCTACCACGCCTGCAAAGGCTCCGGGCTCCGCGAGGCCTAGTACTGTAGGGCGGCGCGGGATCACCACGGCAACGCGGGCCACGCGGGATCCGCGGGCGTTCGACGAATCCTGGACGCTGGGGGTGGGATGTGGGCGGGACTGACTTTGGAAAGAGATCGGCACAGACGATCACCATAGCAACGAGAGCGTCCCAGGGGTCTGGGCCAGGTCGCGGGAGGAGAGACTTCCGGACGCCGCTGGAGCTCCGGATATCACCATGGCAACAAAGTGTGTTGCTGGCTAGGCGGACAGTGGACGGGACCACTGATCCCAGTGGGTGGAGTTGTGCTCTGGAGCTGGTCTGGATGGGGCTGACCACGGAGTGGTTCGCCAGAGCTGTTCACTCTGGAGATCACCTCGGACTGGAGGAGTGGTGGCAATCATGGGATAAGAACCGTTGCTGTGCTGCAATAAAGCAATACTGTACTGGTATTTGATCAGAGTCAAGCACCCTGCCTTGGCAAGGGATGGACATGCATTGTGTCCACCATTTCCTGACCTCACAGCGTAATTCTAAATCCAATGCTCTCTGAAAACCGTATGCCTGGCTTCTAGAGCTCATGCTGCAGAATTAATTTCCTTGATGAACGGGTGTTAAAATTCGTGCTGACTCTAGTCACAGAACTCCTATTCGTTAGCTTCTTTTTGGAAAATGAGGTGTGTGGGTCTAGACGGTCTCCAAGCCCCTTATTTTCATAACCAGGTTCAGAGAAGTCCAGGGTTCCCAGTTTTGAGAACCAACTTGATTCAGTCCCCCCTTTAAACAAAAACTATGACTCACAATCAAAGGGATTTTCCTAGTGAGTTAGAACTACAATTGAAACTCATATTTCTTGACTCCCAGTTCATTGCTCTTCACAGCAACTTCCTTAAAAAATTAGGATGCTCTGGGTTGGAGAGACTCTTTAGAACTTGATCCTTTGAAGGACAGCAAGAGGGGATTGGATTCTGTACACAGATCTAAGTGTTCTTCAGTTTAAAGCTAAATGTGTTAGAGGTTAATGTTTGATGCCTTTATTAATAAGTTTATTGCTAAGGTCTCAGGCTTAGAGGGTGCTCTAGTGTCTGCATCTCAGTCTACTGACTAGCTATAAAATGACCTATCTACTTCAAGGATTTCTTGTGAGGATCACTTGAGATGGTAAAAGTGCTTTTAGATTGTAAAGTTCTATTCAATTCTATTAACTATTCATTTGTTTTCCACTTACCAAAAGCCTCCTGGTATATACCTGGCGCTGAGAAGGCAAGGAGACAGAATTTACATAGTCTCTACCTTCAGAGAAGTTAGACTCTGCTGGGCTATCAAAAGTAAACAGAGGGCTGAGGTTACGGCTCAGTGGTAGAGTGGTTGGCTAGCATACTCCAGGCCCTGGCTTCAGTACCCAGTACCCAGGGGTAAAAAGTAATTAGAGAGTTGAGGGAAGGATGTGTGCCAATGGGATAATTAAGCTATGAGATCCCTTATTAACTTGGATTTGAGAAGGATGGCTTACAGATAAAGTGTCCACCAAGTTGCTTCCTGGAGAACAAACAGGTCATTAGAGTTACAGACAGCTCTGGCTGCAGGAGAGAGGTGGCCATTTCAGGGATTGAGAGCAAGTCCAGCGTGGCTGGAAGAAGCCATCCCTTACGGACTTGTGTGTAAGCTAGGAGTGTGTGTGTGTGTGTGTGTGTGTGTGTGTGTGTGTTAGGCAAGGTCTCACCACGGTGCCCAGACAGGGCTGAAGTGACTCTCCTGCTTCAGCCTCCCAAGTAGCTGGGACCACACCAGGCTCCACACCATCCCCACACTCATCCTCAGGGTAGCAGGAGGGACTCAGGCCTGAATCCAGTGGGGAGCCATGGGAATGTTTTAAGCAGGTGCTGGCTGGGTCTGTCTTACTTTTGAGAACAATTACTAACCAAGAGTGTATTGGGTCCACTGCAGGACCTGACTTCTGTCATTACTAGGTGGTCAACTTGAAGAGCAAGAAGCGTGGGCCATTGCTAGGCAGTTCTAGATCAGGTATGTGTGATTTACAGGAAGCGACTGAACCTCTTGAGATTCTTACCCTAAACCACATATGGCTTTACTCTCATGATCAAAGGCATGCAAATGCCCAGTACAGAGAGAGGCGGAAACAAATCACTTCTCTTCTGTACCTTGAACAAAGCTAAGCAGCCTTTGTTCTTCCACAATAACTCTGTAAAATATTATTGTCCCCACTTTGCAACCGGCCTCAGCCCCCCGCTGTTCGCGCCTGCGCGGTGGTTCCCGCGTGTGCAGAGCAGGACGCAGACACTGGGGAGTTGCCTGGCAACCAGGTTGCCAGGAACCACTATCACGCTCTACCAGCTGGCTGGCTCCTGGCTTGGGAGGCAACGGCGTTGAGGCAGGTGAGGTGAAGGCCGCGGGTGAGGGGCTTGGGGACAGTGGTGCTCCCTGACCTATACGGTCTCACAGGGGCCCACGTCCTCATACCCCAAGTCACACATTTTCTTCTGTGGCTGTGCTCCCTCCTCACGTGCCTTTCAGAGGACAGAGGGACCCTGTCACTGTGCCTACGGTTCTCTGTGAGGGAAGGCTAGATTAGGAATGGCGGTGTCCTTCCCAGCCCAGCCTTCCTCCTCTCCTTGTTGTCTGGTGGCCCGTTTCAGAATCTGGCTCACTTTTATTGGGGAGATTTCTGCAGGACGGTGTCCTGTTATAAATGCAATAACAATCATCATAATAACCACACCCAATCAATCTATCTGGGGCTCTGGTGAGCCAGGCTCCTGGGTATCAGTTAATATCACTAGACTGGAAGGGTAGGAAGGTGTATTATTATTACCTCCTTTTGCAGCTGCAAAAAAACACAGATGTAGGAAGTAACTTGTTAAGGGCTACCCATGTCCTGGGTCTGCAGCCAGTTCTTAACCTGCCTATAGTTGCTTAACATGTGAATGTGGAATAAAAACAGATCATCCTTTAACCTTAATTCCTTTTTGATGATGTGACCTAAGCATCTGAATATGGGTCCTTAACAGGTGAATGAGCTAGACCTGGATTTGAACAATGACTTCTAGTCTTACCAGTTTGGTGACCTCTAGCAAGCTCCTTGGTCCTAATCTCAGCTTCTTTCCTTGTAAATTATGGATAATACAAGTCCTCTCCTTATAGTGTAGGTGTTTAGTTTAGTTTAGTTTAGTTGGTTCCTAGGATTAAACTCAGGGCCTTCACACTGAGCTATATCCTTAGCTCTTTTTATTTTATTTTTAAATTTTGAGACAGGATATCACTAAGTCACTAAATTGCTCAGGCTGTGCTCAAACTTGCAATCATCCTGCCTTAGCTTCCTAAAGTGTTGAGATTACAGACATGTGCCACCAGGTCTGGCTTGTGGTAGATGAGTTAGGTACTAGCTGTTGCTGGCACGAGATGACCACCAAGTGGAGAGACATTTTGGTGTTTGTTTGTTTGATCTCTTTTGTCTTTTTGGTGCTAGTGACTGAGGCCCACGACTATTCAGTACTAAAGTGGTTTCTTCTGTTATTAAGAACTGTTGCATGGGAGAACTCTGAGGTTTGGAATTTAGGCTGTTACTTAACTTTTGTTGTGACCTTAAACAAATATCTTCATTGTTCTCAGCCTCTGTTCATCTGTAAGATGGGCATAAAAATGCCTGTCCACCTGTTCTCACACTTTTGAGATTCAGATAAAAAGTATCTTATAATAACAACAGCTTTTTGGATTCTTTTAATCAGTGGTCTCTGCAGAACTTCATTTTGAAAGCCCTTTGTAGATGTGGAAAGATGGCTCATGCTCGTATCTCCATGCACCTGCCTCCAAACATCAATCCCACCCAGGCTGACATTGCCTATGGCTGTTGGGCCCTGCCCAATCTGAACAAGGAGCTACAGTCGGAGGACCTGCAGACAAGGCAGAAAGCCCTCATGGCCCTGTGTGACCTCATGCACGACCCTGAGTATGTCTACGAGGCTATCAACATAGGTGAGAGTATCATGGCCCAGGTGACCAGGACTGAGGTCCTGGCATTGATTAGACACTGGGTGGAGTTTCAATAATAAGTGTTGCTATTTATTTGAACCTGACTTTGGGCCAGCAGTACCCTAAATTCAGTGTCTGCCTCATCTTAGTCCTCACAGTGGCCAACTGCAAGGGAGGGAAAATTCACAACCTGCAGATGAGAAAACCAATGTGCACCATGGTGGTACACACTTGTTATCCCACTTACTTGGGAGGCTGAGGGAGGAGGATTGCAAGTTTGAGGCCATCCTGAGCAACTTAGTGAGACCCTGCCTCAAAATAAAAAATATAAAGGGCTGGGGTTATAGCTCAATGATAGATCACCCCTGGGTTCAATCTCCAGTACGGGGGACCTTAAGAGAAGGGATGTGAGCGTAAGGTTGCCTAACTAATAAATCAAACAGGAGTTTTACTTGCTAAATCTGGCATCCCTAGGTGTAGCCCATTCAAGGTCATGTGACTAGAGTAGGACAGGGTTATAATTTGACCACATGTCTCTCTTGGGATCAAAGAAATGTCAAAGAATATTGTCTTATTCCTGTAGCAGACTTCAAGAGAAAGAACTAGTAGAAAGCATTCAAGGTGTATAGTGAGGAGGATTAGATGAGATGATCCTAGGGTGTGAGTCCCTTCAGTACCTCTCAAATGCTGTGTAACTGACATGATTCTCCGACATTCCAAAGCAAGAGAACCCATGGTACTTTCTTGTTGCCCAAAATTGACTCACATATTGACTTCTAGGTTAGTTGATTTCTGGGACTGGCAAATATTCAAAGGTTTTTCTGCCTTGTAGGCTGCCTGGAGAGTCTGACAGCTTTGCTGAAGGATAGTGACAGCCTGGTTCGGATAAAGACCACCGAGGTGCTCCACATCATGGCGACCCATAACGTGGGCAGGTGGGCAGCTGTCTCTGGAAGCCAGTGTCACACTTGGAAGCTATACTCCTTTCCTGCGTGGATGTCCTTAAATGACCTTGAATGCTCTTAAATCTTGTCTGTAGTACTGGTCTTCAGTGGGACTTCTATTTGGTCAGAGCAAGGCTCTCTGCAGGGTGGTTTTGATCGTCTCTGTGGGGGCCTCATAGAACTCTCTGTTGCAGACTAATTTTTA